CTACGTGGGAGTCCAGCGACATAGCCATTACGCTAACTGCTGGTTCCCCCTACCTTTTTTTTTTTTTTGAGAGGTTTTCGCTATAGGGTGCGCGTGCTCACCAGACAGAGACATAGAGAACGAAAGTGAGAAATCACCCCCTAGAGGGGATGGTCACGCCGCAGTCCCTTCTCCTCCATTCTCCTCTTGGGATCTTGGGCACACACGCACACACGCCTGGCGTGAGTTTTAAGCCACCGGGTCCAGGACGCGAATCATAGTTGACTACGTGGGAGTCCAGCGACATAGCCATTATGCTAACTGCTGGTTCCCTTACCTACCATTTTTTGAGCTCAATGTCAGATACTGTACTGGGCACTTTACACACATTTCAAATTCTCTTAGAAGTTTCCTTAGCTCCTCCATTTAACAGTTTTGGGATCTTGGGCCCAGAGGGCAAGAGAGGCAGAACTCAGCGTTGCATCCAGGCATGCTGACCCCAGATCCACCCACTTTACAGCCTCCATGTCTACAGATGGTCTTTCAGGGAGCAGGTACCCAAGGCAGGTTCTTTCAGAGGAGATGAGTTATTCCTGGGTCCCATTCTAGGCTTAGAGGGGCAGTAAGGACTCAATTGGCAGGAAGGATCTGAGTCAGGGGTTATCCTGAGGGCCCTGTTGGGCCTGCCTTCTCAACACATTTCCTTTCTAGGCTGAAGACAATGAGAAGTTCAAGACGATAGTAGAGTTTGAGTGCCGGGGCCTTGAACCAGTTGATTTCCAGCCCCAGGTTTGTGTGTGTGCATGTCTTTGTGGAGAACCTGTATCTTTGGGAAGGGAATGTATGAAGTGACAGCACAACTTTGCTTCCTACAGAGACAATGGACTAGGAATTCTTACCAGGAATAATAATCGTCTCTTACTAAGTACCTTCTATATGCTGGGCACCATGCCCATCAGTTTTATACGTTACCTTATTTAATCCTCAGAGTATCTCTATGAAGTTATTCATCCTGTTTTTCAGATAAGGAAAGAACTTCAGTGATTTTGTGACTTGCCCAAGGTCACACAGTTAATGAGCAGGGGAGTTGTACTTTAGACTGAGGTCTGTCTGATTGCAGACCCAAGTGCTCAGCCCTTTTATTTATGCAGTTTCCACCTAGCAGCAATCTTTATTGTAGGCAGAAGAGATAGTATTATCATCCCCACTTCATAGATGAGCAAACTAAGGGTCCAGAGAAGAAAGTAACATGCTTAGGGTCCTTCACGAGTAGTGAAGGGGTTTACACTACACCTGCATCCTTCTGCTCTAGGGCTGTAATTTGGAGGAACCACTCTTGCCCCAAGGCAGCTGCTGTTCCTGGAACCTCAGTCTTTAATCCCGAACACCTGCTCCCACTGCATCTGTCCTCCATCCCAAAACATTGCCAGAAATCCCCTAGCCAGCCCTCAGATGCCACCCTAGTGCCACCACCTTCCCAGACTAACTGCTGCTTTCCTGTCCCCTGCAGGCTGGGTTTGCTGCTGAGGGTGTAGAGTCGGGGACAGTCTTTAGTGAGATTAATCTACAGGAAAAGGTAAGAGACTTGGGGGCCCGGGGAGGTGCAATAGGGCACCTGGTGGGAATTATGCTTTTGGTGAACCAGGCTCCTCAGTGGAAAGCTTACTGGGTTTTCGTGTTTTCTGTTGGTTAAGTGGTTGCAGGTCTAAGGCTGAAGTGCTGTTTAGTGTCCTGTGTGCAGGAAGGCTGTTACATGCTTCACAGAGTCAACACGGTGTTAGACAAGCTTTGCTCACACGTGATTACAGTGCTCCTGGCTGTGAGCAGTGTTAATCAAAATATACGTGTGGGGGACCAGCAGTTAGCGTAATGGCTATGTCGCTGGACTCCCGCGTAGTCGACCACGGTTCGAGTCCCGGACCCCGTGGCTTAAACTCACGCCAGGTGCATGTGCGTGCGTGCCCAAGATCCCGAGAAGAGAATGGAGGAGAAGGGATTGTGGCGTGGCCATCCACTCTGGGGGGTGATTTCTCGCTTTCTATCTCTCTGTCTCTCTCTGTCTGGCGAGCACACGCGCCCTATAGCAAAAACCTCTCCAAAAAAAACAAATAATATATATATATGTGTGTGTGTGTGTGTGTGTGTGTGTGTGTGCGCGCGCGCGCGCGCGTATACACACGTATATTAAATAATGTGTCTTTAAACATAAAGTTAATGGGTCTGTTGTGACCAGAGGCTCACAAGAACCTAACCAAGTATTTTCCCTGAGAACAGCAGTTCAGTAATCACAAATTCAGCGTTTGTGGTGACTTTATGGAGCCTAACTACCAAGAATACCAAGAAATATATACTACTGGGTATGTTACTACCCTTCATTTTGAAGTCTTATGCTCCGGCCTTAAAGACAAGACAGAGACTTCTGTTTGTATAGCACCTGGTAAGAGTAGCTGGTCCCTACTGAGCTCTTATGTGTGCCAAGCACTGTGCTAAGTGTTGTTTTTGTTTTTGTTTTTATTTTTGCTATAGGGTGCGTGCGCTCGCCAGACAGACAGAGAGAGACAGAGAGATAGAAAGCGAGAAATCACCCCCCACCCAGAGGGGATGGCCACACTGCAATCCCTTCTCCTCCATTCTCTTCTCGGGATCTTGGGCACGAATGCACACGCACCCGGTGTGAGTTTAAGCCACCGGGTCCGGGGCTCGAACCGCTGTCGACTACGTGGGAGTCCAGCGACATAGCCATTACGCTAACTGCTGGTCCCTGTGCTAAGTGTTTTTGTCACCTCATTTTATTTTTCCAACATTCAATACAAAGCCTACTGTCTTTGTTTTTTAAGAGAGGTTAGAACTGAGGCTTGGAGATGTTGACTTGCCCACAGTCACAAAGCTGGAAGAGTTAGCATTCAGGCCTGAGCTGTCTGGCTGTGTTCAGGGTCTACATGTTCATGAATATCTCAGCGAGAGCCTCGGTTGGGCCTTTTAAGTCCCAGTTCTCCACAGTGTCCCATTCTGCCTGTGAGGTTAACATTGCCGTTTTATTTCACAGGACTGGACTGACTATGATGAAAAGACTCAGGAGTCTGTGGGAATCTATGAGGTCACCCACCAGTTTGTGAAGTGCTAATCCCTCTTCCTGCATACCTGTCCTTAAGAACTGAGAAGAGACAAGAGTACCCTGAGCGGCAGCCCACCGAGGCTGGTCCCCTCATCCCTCTTCTCCTGGCAGTTGTACCAGACCTTCACAGTCCGCATGCTGGGCTCTGTCACAGCTTCCTGGGTTCCACCAATAAAGCCCCTGTTCAGACCACACTGGTGGGTCTTCCATAAAGAAGAATGCATGCCAGAGGTCTCGGACTACTTTTTGGCACTTTCCCATGGTTTGAAATCCTGTGCCTGACCCAGTTTCTGATAGCTCTCTGGCTTTTGGGAAGCAGGCAGGTCAACGGAGGGGATCAAAAGTGTCAAGGCCAGTGGCAGCAGTGGAAGGATGGGTGCCGTGAGGCCAACAGTCCTGAACCAAAACACTGCATTGACCAGCCTCACTCTCCACTAAACCCAGGCATCTATTAGGTGGTGTCACCTCATAGCCTAAAGCTAAAAGGGACTTCAGAGGTCAGCAGGCCACTCCTGGCTTGTTTTATGCACTATAGAACTCAGGTTTCTATTCCATTCTTATGATTTGGTACTCCCTGCCACCAGGAGAGTCTGTATGAAAGTTTGTTCTTACGCTAAGTTAACCTCTGTAGTCCCTATAGCTCCTCCTGTTGGTTATGAGCTGTCCCCTTGTGGTCAGACTTATGTATTATTCTGCCTCCAGGCAGCCTTTTGGAGTAGTGAAGACACCAGTCAGTGACCTTTTAAGTCTCTCAAGCCTGATGTAGTTATAGGGCACATAGTTCAGTCATAAGGGGACGTTTATACCTTCATACTGGTGCGTCCACAATCTGGAATATTTGCTACCAGGAACTGTATTTCTCTAGTGCTGTACTGAACCTGGAATTCTTTGGGAGTAAACATTATTATCTTAGGGGCTAGCCAGTGGCTTCGTGGTTAAGGTGATTGGATCCCATGTAGCCAACTGCATAGTCAAGTCTTGGACCTGGTGGCTTGAGAAACATGTTGGGCACATGCATAATGCATGTCCAAACTCCTGAGAGGAGGGAGAGTTGGTAGAGAATGGGTTGCAGTGTGAACATCTCCCATGGAAGGTGCTTTCTCACTTTCCCTTTGTTGAGCACACATGCCCTCTGGCAAATTTAAAAAATAAAATATAAAAATTCGTATCCTTTTTTCCCATTTCTGGGAAAGCATCTGCCCATTCCCAGGCTGACTGTAATGCTCTAGGAAGGGGATTCTCAGGTATCAAAACTGGCCATGTCCAGGGGTGATCAAGATATCCGTAGTCCTGACATCTGGAAGCCAGTCTGTCTTCAGATCCCCTGCATGTGCAGTCCCCTAGCTCCTTTCTGCACTGGACAGAGTCAGCCAGTTCCTCACCCACTTGGTCTAGTCCACTACGTAGGCCTGGAGATAAGTAATACAGGAAATCAGTTGGGTAAGCAGTCTCTAGAGGTGGTTCTTTGTGTTTGTTTTATTTTTTATTAACTTCATAGGAGAGATAGGCATCCCTGACAAGGTCTCACCACTCCACAATCCCCACCTCATCTCCTAGCCTTCTACCCAGCAGGATCACAGGCACACCCAGCATGTTCTGGTAGACCTGAAATCTGAATCCAGGGCCGCCTTGTATGGCTCCAGTATGACACAACAGCGTCTCCCACCACCTACGTGACCACAGCTGGGTCCTTCCTGAGCTTAGTCTTTACTAGTCAGTGTGTAAGCTTATAAAGACAAACACTAGGGGCCAGCAGGTGGCATGGTGGTTAAGGTGCTTGACTCACATGGCTGACAGCTGTTCCTGTCCTGTCCTGTCCTGGACCTGGCAGCTTTCTCTCCCTCTCCCTCCCTCCCTCTCTCTCTCTTTTTCTTCTGTCAAATTTAAATAAATAAAGTTAAATAATTCTTTAAAAAATTTTTTCTCATCCTTTAGGAGGTAGGGACACCCAAGTAATCTTTAGCAAATTAGAGCAAAAAATGGAATAGATCATACAGAAAAGGCATTACCCATTCAACAACAAACCAAAGAAACGTTTTTCTTCTGAAACATTTTTAAATTAATTAATATACATTCATTCCCTGAGCATTGTCACAGCATACAAAATGATTTCCCATCCAGAATATACTGCATAGTGGCTTAATCATACATGTTGTCAATAATTTTCCCTTTCTAGCTTCATACGTATCTATATATTTTATCCCTATTTCTCACCTTCTGCCATTTCCCACCGTCCTCTCACACTATCTCAGGTGTCTACCGCTGTTTTCCATTCCTTTTACCCCACATTTTATTGATTCACAAAATTTCTTAAATGATCTACTTTCAATAGCAAGTTAAGCTGATATATACATATCTGTGAATACATGTCTGACTTTAGGGTTTTAGTCAAAAGTCATAAATTTCTATTTCACCAGTTCAGTCTCATGTACTTTATCTTCTGTTGTGGTTCGATCTTCCCGATTAAATTCAGGGATATAATCATCAACTCCAGACTTGTCCCTACGATTAAGTTGGCCATTTTCTTAGTGTTTGAACTCTCATTTCTGTGTGTCTGTATTTAATTTTCCTGGTACAGCTCTCCCTTGAGAACTTCTTGGAGATCTGGTCTGGTGTTGATAAATTCTTTCAGGTTTTGTGTATCTGAGAATGTTGTCTTCCCATATGAAGGATAATCTTGCTAGGTACAGTATCCTTGGTTGAAATTGCTTTTCCCTTAACACTTTGAATATATTTTCCCATTCTTTTCTAGCCCACATTGTTTCCAGTGAGAGGCCCACTGTTAGCCTGATGGGATATCCTTTGTAGGCAACTTGACGTTTCTCTCTTGCCAATTTTAGTATCTTGTCTTTGTCTGTGGTTTTGGTCAATCTGGCTATAATTTGTCTTGGAGAAGAGCTTCTTGGGTTGATCCTATTTGGGGTCCTTTGTATTTCTTGGGTGTAGTTTTTGAATGCCTCTCTAGGTTTAGAAAGTTTTCTTTGTAATTTTCTCAGTCTTCATGGTGGATTTTTTTAGGCCAGCAATTCTACCTTCTACATCTGAGATTTGATTTTCTGTATGAGCTAGTCTGCTTTTAATACTTCCAAGGGAGGTTTTGACTTCCTGAATTATAGGCTTCGTCTCTAATAGGTTCATTTGATTCTTTTTTAGAGTGTGCATTTCCTCTTTTAGATCGTGCAAAAATTTCCTCACCTCTTGGAACTTGCCAGCTCCTTTCTCCTTCCTGCCTTCTCTGCAGTTCATTGTCTCTCTGTCATCTGTTAGCTTTGGCATTATGAATATTCTAATTTTTTTTTGGAGAGGTTTTTGCTGTAGGGTGTGTACACTCACCCAAAAGACAGAGAGAGACAAAGAGACAGAAAGTGAGAAATCAGCCCCCAGAGGGGATGGCCACACTGCAATCCCTTCTCCTCCATTCTCTCAGGATCTTAGGCACATGTGCACACACGCGCCTGGCATGAATTTAAGCCACTAGATCTGGGACTTGAACTGTGGTCAACTACATGGGAGTTCAGCGACATAGCCATTACTCTAACTGCTGGTCCCTGAATATTCTAAATTATTTATCAGACATTTCCATGAGATTCATTGTACTATCTGAGGATGAAGAGCAGTTATTATTTTCCCTTGGAGGGGAGGAATTTTCATGCTTTCCCATGTTCCTTGTGACCCTGGGGTGATTTCTAGTTGTCTGATGGATGGTGTATTTCTTCCTAATTCTTGAAGTTCAATCTGAGCATTCAGAAGCATCCCAAAGAAGGTGATCTGCAATCTCTCTTCTGTTCCGTTTCCACTCTTTAAGTATCAGATACAGTGGGACTAGAAGAATATTCTGAACCTAATCATATTCAGATGTTTGGAAGCTGTTCACTTGGACCTGTCTAGATACTTACTGTATAGAGACTGAGTAGCCAATGAATAAAGATAAAGAAAAGGAATTAGAGAAGAGGATAGAAGAAAAAATAAAAAGAAGAAAAAATAATAAAGTTAGATTTTAATTATAAAAAGCACACTGCACGAAATCAATATTTCAGAGCTGAAGTTCAGTATCCATTTCAGGGTTGTGCCTTTCCTAAGTGGAATGTGGAAAGGCACCAATTAACACAATAAAGCAGGGGCTTCAGAGCCCAGAGACTACTTTAGCTTAAAAAAAAATTTTAAAAAAAATCACAGAAATGGAGAGAAGGTGGCAGAGGTACCCTACCCACTAGAAACAAATCTGGAGTAAAAAGTGTCAGCAGAAAATCTTCATTTTTGGTCAAGGAAATCAGTATTTCAGGGTGGAAGTTCAGAATCCATCTCAGGATGAGCTTAGCCTGGGTTTACGCCTTTCTAAAAATCTGGAGTAAGAAGTGTCAGCAGAAAATCCTCATTTTTGGTCAAGGAAATCAATGTTTCAGAGCTGACGTTCAGTATCCATCTCAGGATGAGCCTGGCCTGGGTTTGCACCTTTCCCACTAGCAATGAATCTGGAGTAAGAAGTGTCAGCAGAAAATCTTCATTTTTGGTCAAAGAAATCAATATTTCAGAGCTGAAGTTCAGTATCTATCTTTGAATCCAAAGAAACTTAATAACCTAGGCATAGAAGGGAACTGCCCTGGCCTCACAAAGGGTATCTACTCAAAAAAAAACTAAAGCAAATGGCAATTTTAGTAAGTGATGATACATTTGAAGAACTCCAAGATCGGGGTGAGGTGAGATTCTGTATTCCTAGCTGTACTGCAGGTCCCACCCAGGGTGATAATAAAAAGAAAGGCAAATGGGTGGGGCCAGCAGGTAGCATGATAATTAAGGCACTTGACTCCCCAAGGCTGACCGCTGACCATAGTTTAAGTCCCAGACCTGGCAGTTTGAAAATCATGCTGGGCCCATGTGCATGCATGCCCCAAATCCCAGAAGAATGTAGAAGGGATTGTGGCATGGCCCTCGCCCTGGAGGATGATTTCTCTCCTTCCCTCTCACTCTGGCAAGCACACACATCCTATGGCAAAAATGGGGGGAAAACAGCAAATAGATTGAAAAGGATTTTTCCTAAATTGTAATTTTCCACTTAGGAAGATGGGCTGGCTCTATGGCACAGCAGTAATGTGCTGCTCAGGAAAGGCTGGATCCTACATGGCAACTGAGGTTCAAATCTCTGGCTCGGTCAGTCTCAAACATGTCTGGCACATGAGGACAGCCAGTGTGCACCCAAGAGATACTGTCCAGTACATTCCCTCTGAATGTGTTAAATAGGATTTTTTTGTTTTGTTTTTGAGAGGTTTTTGCTATAGGGTGTGTGCACTCACCAGAGAGAGAGACAGACAGAAAGCGAGAAGTCACCCCCCCAGGGGGTTGGCCATGCCATAATCCCTTTCTCCTCCATTCTCCTCTCGGGATCTTGGGCACGCACACACATGCGCCTGGCATGGGTTTAAGCCACCGGGTCCAGGATTTGACCTTGGTCGACAACATGGGGAGTCCAGCGACATAGCCATTACACCAATTGCTGGTCCCAATAGGATTTTTTTTTCCACCCCTACTAGATTCCATTGGAAACTTGTTCTTAAGAGCTAAGGCTCTGGGGAACTGGCTATTCATGTAGGGCCAGCACTTCAGTAAGGAATGGAAGAGAAGCAGAATAAGCTGGAAGTGAACACAGGTTAAGCTTCAACTGTGTGCCATGTGCTTTACCTAAGTTTAACTGATCTTTACAACATCCCAATGTGCACGGAATTATTCCCCTCTTACAGAGGGACCAATGAAGACAAAACAACTTGCCTATACAGTGAGAAAATGGTGGCGGTATTCCTGATTATACTTAATGAATGAGAACAATGTTGGGTTTACATACATTGACAGCCATCAAACGTCTCTCTAACCAAACTAGAATACCTGGTCCTGCTGGAAGTCATTAAATGATACTGAGAGAAGGATGGTAGAATCTGCTTAGAAGACATGAAGATGTCTTTATATGAATGGTAAGGAGGATTAAATGAAGTAATGCACTGAAAGTGCTTTGTGACCGACATACCAGAATTAAAATCCCAGCCATATCAGTACTACATTGGAAGCCACTGGAATGCAGTACAACTAAACACCCACAAACAAAATCCCTTTTTAAAAATCAAAGCAAAACCAAAAATACCCTTTCTTTCATGTTACAATAGTATCCTAACAAATTGGAGAGGGAAAAATTCTGTGTTCACTCCATGGAGCTTTCCTGAACTGCAAAATGTAGAGACCATAATGTGCTCATGAGCTTCAGCTGGTTAAAATGAGTACACCAATAAAAAGCCTCATCTGGCTGGAAAAACTGTCAAAGAGCACCATGGGAAGAGCCTTTGCCTCAGCAGGGCTGTCAGAAACAAGTAGCAACCAATTCACTTCTTAGATAAATGAAGATTACTTTTAAATACATGATGTCCCAGGAGAGAGGGGCAAGTTTATGGGGAGGATGAAAGAGCTTCTCCTACCATCACCTGAAGAAACAAGAGCCAATTTAATGAACTTATTGAAAGTGTTGTTAGAAAGTGGTCTAGTAAATTAGGTTAGAAAAATGAACAAGAACCATCTCCAAGCAACAAATTTTATTTCTGCTTAAATAAATACATCTGATCAAATGCCCTTAAAACTCAAGTCTCTGATTACCTTTAGTTGTGATCTAGTCATGCTCAGAAATGAAATGTTTAGCTTCAAAGCCATGATTTTCAAGCTCAAACCTGCAACGCTCACTGCTCAGGCACCCCTGGTCAGTTTCATTAGTACAGAATAGCACCTATTGGCTACAAAGGCCCCGATTTCCATGAGAAGGAAGAAACGGAGGCTTTTCACCTGCCCAGAAGCTATGTTTTGATGGATTTGCCCTCTAAGGCATCAAACATGTCTTCTAAGGCCTTCTCCACACAATGGAGAAACTCCCGGGCATTGCGGCCTGTGTAGGAGGCAACGTTGCAGCCTATCCAGTTGTCATGAACAGCATACCCAATACCAAAGCCATCAGGGACCACGGGGGCAAAGCCACCCATGTTCACAGCTGGGCTGCTCAGTGTGCTGGTGGACAGGATGATGTGGTTTATCTGCCTGTATGCAGGATCCAGGTACAGCTCAGGCAGCGTAGTCCCTCTGGCTGCTGCCAGGTACCGCAGAGCAAACAAGTGTCGGTCAAAGCCCTGGCCTGTCAGAGACAAAAACAGATTGAACCAGAGTCTTAGAATCTCAGAACTGAAAAGAACCCTAGGAAGACCTCCCACCCATGACCAGACTCCCCTTCATGGCATCTTTGATAGGGGGAAAATGGTCTGTCTACTTCAGCCAGCATATACCCAGCTCACTAACCTTTATAACAGCTCATTCTAGAATATTTTAAAAAATATATTATTTAAAAAGTTGTCAGTAGCTGAGCTAAAAATGAAAGCATAGTTTTAAATATTAGGTATTGGTTTAGTCACATAGTCAAAACAGTTAAGAGAGCTACGGGGCCAGCTGGTGGCATGTTAAGGCGATTGGATCCTTCATGGCCAAATGAGTGATTCTGACTCCTAGACCTAGTGACTTGAAAAACACACCTGGTGCATGTGCATGCATGCCTGAAATCCAGAGAGAAGAATGAAGAAAGGACTGTGGCATGATCATCCCTCTGGGGAACGATCTCTCACTTTCCACACACCCCCTACCCCCCCACCCCGTTTCCTCTCTGATGAATGCATGTCGTGGGGGGGAGGTATGGACTAAAAAAACTAAGGTAAAAAATCAAAGTCCAAGTGTAGAAGAGAAGACTGAGTCAGTGGAACAAAATGGAAAGGTATCTGACCATCTGGGGAATGATCTCTCACTTTCCACACACCCCCCACCCCGTTTCCTCTCTGATGAATGCATGTCGTGGGGGGGAGGTATGGACTAAAAAAACTAAGGTAAAAAATCAAAGTCCAAGTGTAGAAGAGAAGACTGAGTCAGTGGAACAAAATGGAAAGGTATCTGACCAGGGGTGGAATCTTGGTCTTACTGCTAACTTGCTTTGTATCACTGGGCTGACAGTCTCAGTTTTGTACCTATAAAATGGAGAAGGCTTTTTCAGTTCCAGGACTTCTTAGCTACATGAGAGAATTGGACTACGTGATCCTCCAGGTCCTTTCCAGATTTTCACACAAAGGCAAAAAAGGCTACTACTTAGAATAGAGCTTCAGAAATGACCAATTTACAGGGAACCAACATGCTACAACTGAGGTGAAGTAAGAGGAGCTGCTAGTTAAAAAAACTGACTGATGACAAATAACTAAAAGTGGGGAATTGTGTTACAGATGAACATGATGATAAATGAGGATGAAGCTACATTTTTCCCCGGCTCTGCTTAAGAGGCAAGAACATTCTGATCCCTGATGGCTCATCTGGCTGTTCAGACTGCTAGAGTAGGGGGAAAAATCACTTTATGAGTTGTCAGGTCGATTAAACCTGGTGAAGGGGCAGTAATCAGCTGTGGGGTGGAATATTACTGAGGCTTACCCAGGCACTGAGGGCAATGAGCCCCAAGGGCATGCTCCCCACCCTGCCTCACCCATTGCTGCTTCTTTGGTCAGCTGGCCATGGTACTTGGAGCACATGGCCATCATCTGCTGTAATTCGCCAGTGCTGTGCCGGGAGGGCTCCCTGACAAAAGCCTCGGAGCATTGCTTTGTGAAGATGGAGGCCGGGCGGATGGTCTCTGTACGGCCATGCTTAAAGGCCGCAGTGCTGCAGGACTCATAGGTGGCTACTGTCTGTCCATATTGCCGCAGGAAGGCCATCTGAAAGGCCAGCTGGGCCACTGCATCCGGGCTGAGCTTCTGCTTCTTCAAGAATTCTTTGCCTCCTCTCTTAAACTGGATGTAGTCGATGTTAAGGGTTTTCATGGTGGCATCAAACTTTTCCTTAGCAGCAGTGATGCCGGTCTTTAAGGCATTGTTCAGCTTGAAACTGAGTTTCTGCACAGAAACAGAAGAGTTAGTAGTGGCTGGCTGGCTCTGAGGAGTGATAGCCGGGGATTGAGTGCTGTCCTTAAATATTTCATTTAAAAACCTGAGCACTGCAACACCATCACCCCATGAGTGCTCAAAGTGGATAGCAGCAGTGCCATCCTTGGCTACAATGAGGTTGAAGGATTTATCGAACCAACGGTTTGTGCCATCACTGTGCAGCATGGTGTGGGACAAGTGGACAAGGTCCTTGATAGGGAAGTCATCCAAGCAGAGGCAGAAGGCAGCAGAGTCCACTTTCCTCAGGGTCTCCTCATTGCCACTGCTCACCAGTTCCTGCCTGAGCTGTGCCCAGACGTCTCGGTTCTCACTGGTCAGATATGCCAGAGGAAACTCAGGGACAGGGCTGTTGTCTGAGAGAATGTACTTTAGGTGCGCCTGGATTTCTGAGGCACTCACAATGTTTCCATTTTGATCCAAGACATCAAAGATATAGAAATGTCCTCTTCTTAGGACTAGGAGGTGTCTGGCCTTGTCATCAGTAAAGAGTTCATCGCAATCAGGTTTAGGTAAACGAGTTGAATTGAAAAGCCGAAAATACTGGGACATATCCAAGGGATATGCATTGACCAAGTAGGCACCATACCAGGACAGAGAGGAAGGCACAAAGCGTATGAGTCTCTTGAAGGTATTAGTGTCACTTTTGGCAGGGTTCAAGTGGAACACTTCTGGCTCCAGAAGGCCAGCCCTGAGTGTCTTTAGAAACCGGATGGCAGAAACAGTCATGTTGGTCGCCCTGGTGAGCTGGTCGTTATACTCAGCTTTTGGGTCAGGATTGAATGCCATGAATGGATTAAAGTTTAAGACGACAGAGTCTCGAGCTCTTAAGTACATATCAAACCAGGGACCTAAAGTAAACAAATAATTAAAAGTTAATGCAGCTCTAAAAAAAATAGAATTTCCTTATTATCATTTTTTTTTGCTCTGCAATAATTTGTGACATATAAACCGAATTATACAATATGTGGTCTTTTGCATCTGGCTTCCGTCACTTAGAGTAATATTTTTGAAGTTCATTAGTTCTTAATTTCTTTTTATTACTAAATAATGTTCCATTATATGGATACTCTACATTTTATTTATTCACCCATCAGGTAATAGACATTGGGTTGTTTATACTTCATAGCTATTATGAACTACATTGCTATGCACATTCATGTTCAAGTTTTTGTGTGGACATACATTTTTTGTTTGTTTTAGAGAGACTTTTGCTATAGGGCACATGCACTTGCCAGAAAGACAGAAAGCAAGAAATCACCCTCCAGGGGGGATGGCCATACCACAATCCCTTCTCCATTCTCCTCTTTTTTCTTTTTCTTTTTTAAATTGTAGAAACAACTTTATAAATAGATTCTTACACAAGAATCTAAACATAGTCAAGAAAAACATATGCAGAGCACCCAAATTACCAGAAAGGTAGACCCCAGTCCTTCTTTTTCGCTCTGGGGAAAAAGAACAGAAAAGAGGAAAAATGATTCCTTCTTGTTCTTTTTGTTAGGTTTTTGCCATAGAGCCTGTGCACTCACAGGAAAGAGACGAAGAAAGAGAGGGAAAGTGAGAACTCACCCCCTGCAGGGGGGTGACCACATCATAGTCCCTTCTCCACCCTTGCCCTCTCGGGATTTGGGGTATGCACGCATGCCTGACATGAATTTCAACCCACTGGGTCTGGGACTCGAACCACGGTCAGTCACATGGAAGGCCACCATCCTAACCACCACATCACTGGCCCCTCCTTCTTGTTCTTAACTGTAACCACCTATACAGTCAGTTTTTCAAGCAGAATTTCTATTCCTTTGCTAGGATTTTTGTTTCTTTCCAATGTGGGAATCAGGCTTTTCAGTCCAGCTTTGACTTTGTTTGCAACTACCTGATCAGGACTCTGGAGAAGGCTAGAAAGAATAATGGCACCTCGGTTTATACTTGCCCAGGACTTCAGGTTCTTCAACACCCACATGCTCTACAAGTGTTTTTGCAAAACAACCTTCTCTTCCATTTTCTTTCATCTTTTCATCTTGTTCTATTAACCACTTCAGTACTAGATGTCTTGCAGGATGTTCTGCAACATGAAGCTTTTCGCCCCTGCCTCTGGGGTGCAGTTCTGCTGCTGCCAAGCTGGCTATGGCGTCCATAGCAGGCTGGACGTCCCTGGTGGCAGATCCCAGAATGTCGGCCACCAACACACAGGCAGCCTTATCTAGCACCATGTCTTGGGCACGTCCTTGTAGGTAGCCTAACAAAGCTGGAGAAATGGATTCTAACAGCTCGCGTCAGCAGATTTCGGTGCCTTTCTTACTATGTGCATTTCCATTCTGCAGAACTTCAATGATTTCTCGGAGTGTGTGCAGGCTCTCTGGGGCTTAGTAGATATAACAGGACCTTTCTTCCATATTTGTCAGCTACTATGTTAGGTAAAGAACTGATCATTTCTGATATGATTATCTGCTTCACAAGCTTGGTATCGTCAATACAGTCAAATGCTGCCAGTAGAACCAAATGGGAGTATTGGCCGTTAGCCACCTTTTCTACATAAGTCTTCATTGTTTTCACAATTACTTTCCTGTCTTTGGGCATACCATGCCACGGGCAGTTCATGGCCACTTTGGCGCCATCACGTGTGTGTGACAGTTATATCACTGCTTCACGGATGGCTTCAATCAGTTCTGATCTGAGTTTTGGGGGTGCATAGGTAAAGAAGTCCAAGAATACTTTATGCACCAATGAGTGCTTAATCACAGCTTCCTTCTAGGCCATTGGAGTTAGAATCTGCTTCATTTCATCTATAATGGGCTCTAATTTTTTAGGCTTTGCCTTGAACACTTTGTCCAGAGTTGGGTGATCTGCTGACTTGTAAATCTGAAACGTGTTCCCGTAGAGCTCCTCTGTCAGCATGTTCCTCTGTTCAAGGATGGCTTTGTCATTGTAAGCGTATTCCACAATGGCCGATGCTTCTGCATGTCACAGCATCTTCTGCATGTGGCCTTTTAGACTTCTGATTATCTCTGCAATCTGTGGTTTACTTCCATACATGAGAAATTTCTTAACAATATTTCTGGAATATTTGGCTTTACTTAATTCAACCAAATCACCTCGCAATTCTTCAAAGGCTTGTTTTCTCTGTTCTTCATTATCATACTGAATGTAACACTGGATCACCCGAGTTGAATCGTGTGCAAATGTAATAGTTTTTTTTTTTTTTTTTTGGAGAGGTTTTTGCTATAGGGCACATGCGCTCGCCAGACAGACAGAGAGAGACATAGAGAAAGAAAGCGAGAAATCACCCCCCAGGGGGGATGGTCCCGC